GGTGTCCCCATTGACAGTGACAACCAGAATCATGGATGGACCATCACCTTCTGTCCAGCTGACTGTTGTCACCAGAATATACAGATGGGGGTGTACCTGGATTGGCTCAGACCATAATAAAACCTGACAGAGATTCCCGCCCTCCATTCAGATCCATTCTCCATGGGTGGGTGATCACTTCCTGACACACAGGCCTCCTCTCCCTGTGTAGGGTGGAATCTCCCGGACTGACAGATCTCCGATTGGTTGTCTAATGGTCTTGTGTGTTGTATTTTATAGATCTGCCAATCAGAACTCTTCTTCCTCATCCATTGGAGGACACAGGAATTCAGTCGGGTTATACTGCTTCCTACAGGAGGACGCAGCTATTGTAAGGCAGCCCAGGATAGCCCCTCCTACTCCCAGCATGCCTCTGTTTTATTGATGTTTTTTCTTTGGAATGTCACCTTCAATCACTGGGACTCCAGAGCTGAGTGTACTGGTAAGCGGTGGCTGTGGGGCCCTTTCCGGGTGCGGGGCCCCAGTGCTTGCTCTGTGAGTGAGGCCGTTTGGGCTGAAGCACTGTAAGCCGCACTTCTTTGGTGCCTTTGATATTTCTCGCTGCCGCTGGTTCTCACCGTGGAAAAGGTTCATTGGAGGACTGAGCGCTGATGTCATCCATGGGGTGGAGGTCATACGTGTGCTTTGCTTACATTCAGTGTAAAGGGACCTTCACTGCCTGCTGCTCCTGCCTCACAATGTGGAGCTCCAATCTCTGGTCCATTACCCACCTACAGTGACCTGGCTACTCCTCATCATCACCAGAGTAGCTGGGGCCCCGAAACCTCTGTGTTCCCACCAGTGACTACCCTCAGGGGGTGGTCCACATCTGTGCAGTATGTTTTCGGTGCATTTTATGTGTGTTACCATGGAACTCCATACAACATGCGTCTTCATGAAAGCACATCAAGGATGCAGCAGGCAGGAATGTAGGGCAGAGGTGTGATGGGGGCCTGAAGGGTGGGATCCCGTCTACAGAAGACACCCCGTCCCCCATAAACTGCGTTAGCAGCCCTGGGAGCATCATATGACACCCAATGGCAGGCTCTCACGGGTTGGTATGATGACAGATAAGAAGCTCTTCCTTCTGGAAGAAGAGGGCTCAGAAGAGATTCTCATTGGCCATCAGGGTCATGTGACCAGGCGCCTCCCACCAATATGATTACTGGCTCCGGGGCTTCTAGCGCAGCGTACGGAGCGTCTTCTGTAGAAGTATAACCAGAAAACTGCACCAGTAGAAGGCATGTTCACCATTAATGGTGCTTCCGACCGGCAGCTGGAATCCCTTCCTAAATCCCAGTTTGAACTGGTTGGCTCCGCCCTTCTCACGTATTGGCAGGAACCTTAAAGCCAAACTCTCTGTTTATTTTTACTTTAAATAGTTCTTTTTGGGCCAAGCAATGAAAACAAGGCTTGCTCTGATTGGCTGAGAGGGAGAGGTGACAACTGATCAGAGGAAGCCTTGGATTCCTTTCACTTTCATCTGTCAGATCCTGGTAGATTGGGTCTCTCTATCACCCAGGGTAGATCCATGTCCTTCATCAGTCTGATGTTCATACAGATGTGCAGGCTACGCTGCTGAGATGCTGATACCTCAACCACAGAGCATAGAACTCGCTTGCCTTCCATGTCTTCTCTCCAGCCCAATACTGTGATTGGGGATATCCCAGGAGACCAACGTGTACTCTGCTAAATCCCACCATCTCTCCTCCACCCACTTCTGCAGTAGGTTCCCTCAGAGCCCTACTTCCGCGGATACCTCAACCATAAACATGTAACTCGTTTGACCTTTGATGTCTTCCTTTCAGCCCAATACTGTAATTGGGGATGTCCCAGGAAGCCAACGTGTACTCTAAATCCCACCATCTCTCCTCCACCTACATCTGCAGTAGGTTCCCTCAGAGGCCGACTTCCACGGATACCTCATCCATAGAGCATGGAACTCACTTGACCTTTAAAGTCTTCCTTTCAGCCCAATACTGTGATTGGGGATGTCCCAGGAAGCCAACGTGTACTCTAAATCCCACCATCTCTCCTCCACCTACATCTGCAGTAGGTTCCCTCAGAGCCCGACTTCCACGGATACCTCATCCATAGAGCATGGAACTCACTTGGCCTTTGATGTCTTCCTTTCAGTCCCATACTGTAATTGGGGATGTCACATGAAGCCAACGTGTACTCTAAATCCCACCATCTCTCCTCCACCTACATCTGCAGTAGGTTCCCTCAGAGGCCGACTTCCACGGATACCTCATCCATAGAGAATGGAACTCACTTGGCCTTCCATATTTTCTTTTCAGCCCAATACTGTGATTGGGGATGTCCCAGGAGACCAACGTGTACTCTAAATCCCACCATCTCTCTTCCACCCACTTCTGCAGTAGGTTCCCTCAGAGCCTGACTTGCACTAATACCTCATCCATAGAGCATGGAACTCACTTGACCTTTGATGTCTTCCTTTTCGGTCCCATACTGTAATTGGGGATGTCACAGGAATCCAACGTGTACTCTGCTAATTCCCACCATCTCTCTTCCACCCACTTCTGCAGTAGGTTCCCTCAGAGCCTGACTCCCACTGGCCCAGTAAGCTTGAAGTTGGAGGTCACCCAGCTCCTCTGAAAAGCCTTCTGCATGAAGGTACACCATCACGTCTACAAAGGAGAAAGGAAGGGGGTTTCTCCAGCCCATGTGTTAACTCTTTCTAGAGCTTTGCCCTACCCAGGCCCCTACTTCTTTCCTCAGGAAACCCTGTGTCTTTGGGACATGGAAACCCCCTTTATGGTGCTTGGTAGCTCAGTGCCCTTCACTGCAGAGGGACTTTCTGGCTTTGTAAGAGGTTGACAGGATAAGCTCCGACTGTATCCTACCTGGATAAGAACCCAGGATCCCCAATGTTGCCTGGGCTCACTTGCTGCTTCTGAGAACATCGTCCCCCATGCTTTGTCTAGTGTTCTTTCTTGGTATCCCCATTGTGGGATCCTCAAACGGCCTCCTTTTGAAGAGTTGCCTTTATGGATTCTTCTAGGCAGTGCCTTCCAGGCCTAACAACTTCACCATGTTCCAGCGTTGGTAGCTATCTGTCTCTGGCGGGTGAACCAGTTCAGCTTGAGTCGTGAACACCTGGTGTACCCTAGATTCCTTGTCTCCTAACAGGAAGTTCACCTCTTCCTCATGGGAGTGCAGTGCATTGGGGACCCCCCCACCTCTGCTAGGCCCCACACTCTTCTTATTTGGCCCCCCTTTCTGTTTTCACAGGCTTATGTTCAGAGCAGACTTTCCGGCCTGTTGCTATGGTCCTGGTAGTCCCTGGCCTGATCCTTTAGACCACTGGAATAGAATGCTCCTCCATATCCAGGGAATGTCATGTGGTGGAGAGCCTCTCCATGCTTGGGTCCACCATCTGGTTTCCTGTTTCAGACTCCGTTGGACACCATCTAGGTGTTGCCATGTCTTTGTTTTTTAGGTGAAGTGGGAGTCGTCCCTGCAGTAGGGGAGGTAACCTAGTCCCTGTGCTGGGAGCCTTAAATTTACTCACTTTCACCCCTAAGGACAATGTCTTGGATCTGGCTCTTCTCAGCCAATGACCTCTGCATTGAGAAGAGAGGTTTGCCTACCTAGATGCGCCTCTGATTCTGTGTCAGGTCTGGATCTCCTTGAATTGCCAGCAGGTGGGAAATCTTGGTTTCCTGCTGAAGGTTACCCTCTGCCGGGAAGAAAGTATGTCCTGAAGGCTTCCTAGCACCTTTCCACCTGGGAATAGGGTTAGAGGTAAAAGGCCTTCAGCCTACCCATGTAAACTGGCTTGTCTTTCTCACCTGGACCAGTTTAGGTCTTGGTTCCCTCCTGGGACCTGTCCCTTCAGCAGTTGTCCCCAGTTTTCTGTTAGCCATATCAGGCTCTCTTCTTCCCTACATGGGAATTTTGTTGTTGTTCCACCTGTTTTGGTTGGTCAGTTTCCCTCTGGTTCAGGTTCAGAATTCCCTTCCATGTAAAGTAGTTCCTTTCAGGTCTTGAGTATCAGGTTTGTTCTCGGTGCCCTTTCCTCTGTCTGGTAGAGGGCTCAACCTCATCTAGTGTCATATTCCAGTGTTGATCTATCAATCGGCTCCTGGGCTGCAGACAGTCCCCAGTTTTTTTTTAGTTGATCCTGCCCCGGTTGTTGCTGTGCTGCCCACCCCTCACCTGGACTGCTTTTGGACATCTTGACTTAATCTGAATTCCTGTGTCCCTCAGAAATTGAAACTAAGATTTGTGTATTTACTGTAAAATCCTTTTTTGCAGTTTATTGGGGGCCATATCCTTTTGTGGTTCTTTTCATGTTCTCGGTACCACGTGTTACAAAGTCAGGTATGCTTGGGGAGGGGGGGGGGGGTATACCAGGGCTGGCCTGTTTCTGTTTGCCAGTATCCAGTCCTTCTGTAGGCACCAGTATAACCCAATTGTATCTACATTCCTTTGTCCCTCAAAGGACAAGAAAGAAAAGGATTTTCCGGTAAGTAGGCAAATCCTATTTTCACGGCCCATTCTTGGTCAGCCACGTGACTCTTCCAATATGGTGGCCATTCTTCTGGCATCCTGTAGATCCTGTGCTATGATTTGATGGCTTCTTTCTATCTTCAGGTGCCTTTCACCCCATGAATGGTACAGAAGATGAGAACACCTTGTACATCCAGCAGTGTGGGGTCTTATTAGACTGTCAGGATGATGATGACGATGATGACGATGATGATGATGATGATGAAGACATCTCCCAGTCAGCTCCAGGCGAGGAGAGCGAGGAAAGCTTTTTAGAAACTGACAAAAAAGACAGTCCTCCCTGCAGTGCTTCCTCTATAGGCCGCCCGAGCGGGAAGGGGGCCAGCAAGCTCTCCAATATCATTGCCCATCTGCAGAGCCTGGCCAGTGAGCGGGAGTCCTCCCGCAGAGAGACTGTAGCAGAGGAAGACGAGGCCTGGCCTCAGATGGGGGAGAGCTCTTACGCCTTCTCTAGTGACGGCATTCCATATGAAGGGAACAGTCTGGCCTCACCTCAGGGCCGCCCGCACTCCACAGACCAGCGGCTCAAGGCTTTTAAGGCCATTAAGATCTTGCAGGAGACAGACTCCAAGGACAAAAAGTACATTTGTGTGGAGTGCGGGAAGACCAGCCGCTACAAGTCGGCCTATTTGCGGCACAAGCGAACTCACACAGGCGAAAAGCCTTTTAGTTGTACGGATTGCGGCAAGTGCTTCCGGCGCAGCTCGCAGTTGGTGACGCATCAGCGAACTCATACAGGAGAGCGGCCGTACACGTGTCTGCGGTGTGGGAAAAGCTTCAGCTGTAATTCCACCCTGGTGACCCACCAGCGGACCCACACGGGGGAAAAACCTTACATCTGCATGGAATGTGGCAAGGGGTTTATCCACAGCTCCGACTACAACCGTCATCATCGTGTCCACCGCGGAGAGAAACGCTACACCTGCAAGGAGTGCGGCAAGAGCTTCAGCCAGAGTTCCTACCTGGTCATCCACCAACGCATTCATACCGGTGAGAAACCCTTCATCTGCAACGAATGCGGTAAAAGCTTCAGCCGCAACTCGTCACTGGTGACCCACCAGAGAGTTCACACCGGAGAGCGCCCGTACACCTGTGCCGAATGTGGGAAGAGCTTCCGCCAAAGTTCCCACCTCCTCATCCACCAGAGGACCCACACGCCGGACAGCCACCTGGCGCTCCGTGCTATGATGTGAGCGCTGTGCACGTCACTTCCAAAGATACTCAGTAGGACATTTCCAGATGGCTCCAGCCGAGGTCTCCAACTTGGTGCTAATGGAGAAGCGTAGGAGCCCCCATCATGTAGCGTCCTCATCCTTGTAGTGTGCTGATATCATCTGGCCATATTGCAGAACATTTGTGTCCCCCCCCCCTTCCCCCACTGTCTATTTATACACGATGGCTAGCTGTGAAGATTAGTCCATCCGCTGTCTCTGTTAGAGAGTCAGGAGTGCTATAGTAGGTAGCTTCATCCTGATTGCATGCCTCTCTCTCCAATCACGAGTCGCTGCATCCTCTGTATCCTGTCTAATATGTCTCTCTTTCCTTAAACTTTGTTAAAGGAGACTGTGCCGCCTTGTGTCTCTGTGGAGTCATTGTGTGCTGAGCCTACATGACACAGGTTCGACTGCTGGGGTAATACAAGCTGTACATATGGCTAGGAGGGGTCAGAGGACAGACCGGCAGTACAGAACATGAGATTGCTGAGAGTTGGGTGTATGTTCTCCATAGGAGGAGTCATGAGAGGACAGACCGGCAGTACAGAACATGAGATTGCTGAGAGTTGGGTGTATGTTCTCCATAGGAGGAGTCGTGAGAGGACAGACCGGCAGTACAGAACATGAGATTGCTGAGAGTTGGGTGTATGTTCTCCATAGGAGGGAGTCGTGAGAGGACAGACCGGCAGTACAGAACATGAGATTGCTGAGAGTTGGGTGTATGTTCTCCATAGGAGGAGTCGTGAGAGGACAGACTGGCAGTACAGAACATGAGTTTGCTGAGAGTTGGGTGTATGTTCTCCATAGGAGGAGTCATGAGAGGACAGACGGCAGTACAGGAACATGAGTTTGCCAAGAGTTGGGTGTATGTTCTCCATCCATAGGAAGAGTCGTGAGAGGACAGACTGGCAGTACAGAACATGAGTTTGCCGAGAGTTGGGTGTATGTTCTCCATAGGAAGAGTCATGAGAGGACAGACCGGCAGTACAGAACATGAGTTTGCCGAGAGTTGGGTGTATGTTCTCCATAGGAGGAGTCATGAGAGGACAGACCGGCAGTACAGAACATGAGCTTGCTGAGAGTTGGGTGTATGTTCTCCATAGGAGGAGTCATGAGAGGACAGACCGGCAGTACAGAACATGAGTTTGCCGAGAGTTGGGTGTATGTTCTCCATAGGAGAGTCATGAGAGGACAGACCGGCAGTACAGAACATGAGTTTGCCGAGAGTTGGGTGTATGTTCTCCATAGGAAGAGTCATGAGAGGACAGACCGGCAGTACAGAACATGAGCTTGCTGAGAGTTGGGTGTATGTTCTCCATAGGAGGAGTCATGAGAGGACAGACCGGCAGTACAGAACATGAGTTTGCTGAGAGTTGGGTGTATGACCTCCATAAGAGGAGTCATGAGAGGACAGACCGGCAGTACAGAACATGAGTTTGCTGAGAGTTGGGTGTATGTTCTCCATAGGAAGAGTCATGAGAGGACAGACCAGCAGTACAGAACATGAGTTTGCCTGAGAGTTGGGTGTATGTTCTCATGGGAAGAGTCATGAGAGGACAGACCGGCAGTACAGAACATGAGCTTTCTGAGAGTTGGGTGTATGGCCTCTATGGGAAGAGTCATGAGAGGACAGACCGGCAGTACAGAACTTTGAGAATTTGCCTGAGAGTTGGGTGTATGGCCTCTATGGGAAGAGTCATGAGAGGACAGACCGGCAGTACAGAACATGAGCTTTGCTGAGAGTTGGGTGTATGTTCTCCATAGGAGGAGTCTGAGAGTTGGGGACAGACCGGCAGTACAGAACATGAGCTTTCTGAGAGTTGGGTATATGGCCTCTATGGGAAGAGTCATGAGAGGACAGACCGGCAGTACAGAACTTGAGAATTTGCCGAGAGTTGGGTGTATGGCCTCTATGGGAAGAGTCTAGAGAGGACAGACCGGCAGTACAGAACATGAGCTTTCTGAGAGTTGGGTGTATGTTCTCCATAGGAGGAGTCATGAGAGGACAGACAGGCAGTACAGAACATGAGCTTTCTGAGAGTTGGGTATATGGCCTCTATGGGAAGAGTCATGAGAGGACAGACCGGCAGTACAGAACATGAGTTTGTCAAGAGTTGGGTGTATGTTCTCCATAGGAGGAGTCATGAGAGGACAGACAGGCAGTACAGAACATGAGCTTTCTGAGAGTTGGGTGTATGGCCTCTATGGGAAGAGTCATGAGAGGACAGACCGGCAGTACAGAACATGAGCTTTCTGAGAGTTGGGTGTATGGCCTCTATGGGAAGAGTCATGAGAGGACAGACCGGCAGTACAGAACATGAGCTTTCTGACAGTTTGGGTGTATGGCCTCTATGGGAAGAGTCATGAGAGGACAGACTGGCAGTACAGAACATGAGCTTTCTGAGAGTTGGGTGTATGGCCTCTATGGGAAGAGTCATGAGAGGACAGACCGGCAGTACAGAACATGAGTTTTCCAAGAGTTGGGTGTATGATCTCCATAGGAGTCATGAGAGGACAGTCAGGAGATATAGAACATAGGTTTGCAGAAAGCTGGGTGTATGGCCTCCACAGGAGTCGTGTGTGACCTCCACAGCAGGAGTCATGAGAGCACAGACAGAAGTTGAGTCTGCAGGGAGGTGTGTGTGTAGCCTTCATAGGAGCACAGACAGGAGATAGAGAAGATGGTTTATTTGATTGTGTATGGACTTCATAGGAAGGGTCACGGGAGGACAGAGCTGGTTCCAAATTGAGGTTGCAAGGAGGTGAGTGTATGGCCTTCTTAGAAAGAGTCACAAAAGGACAGGCAGAAGGCACAGAAGACGAAGGTAGTAGTCAGTGAGTATGACCTCCATCAGAAAAGTCCTGGGAGGACAGAGAGACAGTACAGATAAGTATGCAGGGAGGTGTATGTATGGCCTCCGTAGGAGGAGTCATGGGAGGTTAGACTGTGGGTACGGAGGGAGAGTTTGCAGAGAGATGTATGTATGGCCTCCATAGGAGGGGTCACGGGAGGTCAGACTGGAGGTACGGAGGGAGAGTTTGCAGAGAGGTGTATGTATGGCCTCCATAGGAGGGGTCATGGGAGGTCAAACAGGAGATCTGGAGGGAGAGTTTGCAGGGAGTTGTATGTATGGCCTCCATAGGAGGAATCATGGGAGGTCAGACTGGAGGTACGGAGGGAGAGTTTGCAGGGAGTTGTATGCATGGCCTCCATAGGAGGAGTTATGGGAGGTCAGACAGGAGATATGGAGGGAGAGTTTGCAGAGAGATGTGTGTATGGCCTCCATAGGAGGAGTCATGGGAGGTCAGACAGTACGTACGGAGGGAGAGTTTGCAGGGATTTGTATGCATGGCCTCTGTAGGAGGAGTCATGGGAGGTCAGACTGGAGGTACGGAGGGAGAGTTTGCAGGGAGTTGTATGCATGGCCTCCATAGGAGGGGTCATGGGAGGTCAGACAGTACGTACGGAGGGAGAGTTTGCAGAGAGATGTGTGTATGGCCTCCATAGGAGGAGTCATGGGAGGTCAGACTGGAGGTACGGAGGGAGAGTTTGCAGAGAGATGTATGTATGGCCTCCATAGGAGGAGTCGTGTGTGACCTCCAGTTTGCAGGGACAAATCTTTTGTGGACTCCTGTGATCGGGGTGTAAGTGGTGCAGAATTCGGGATGTCCCGTAGCTCTGTGCTATAATGTGCGCATGCTTATCTCTGTACATTTGATTGGTTATTGGACTCTTCCATGTGTAGCCTCTGGGTAGCTGGCAGTTCCATCCACATTGTCTGCCTTCTTCTGGTGGAGTCCCGGCATGGATCTCTATTCTGTGTCACCCAATAACAACGTGAAAGATGATTTGTGATTGGCCGCTGGCTCTCAGTACCTTTCTTCCCTCCTCTTCTAGAGCACATACCCCTCCCCGGAACACGTAACCCTCCCCAGAACACGTAATCCTCCCCGGAACACGTAACCCTCCCAGAACACGTAACCCTCCCAGAACACGTAATCCTCCCCAGAACACGTAACCCTCCCAGAACACGTAACCCTCCCAGAACACGTAACCCTCCCAGAACACGTAACCCTCCCAGAACACGTAACCCTCCCCAGAACACGTAATCCTCCCCGGAACACGTAATCCTCCCAGAACACGTAACCCTCCCAGAACACGTAACCCTCCCCAGAACACGTAACCCTCCCCGGAACACGTAACCCTCCCAGAACACGTAACCCTCCCGGGAACACGTAACCCTCCCCGGAACACGTAATCCTCCCCGGAACACGTAAACCTCCCAGAACACGTAACCCTCCCAGAACACGTAACCCTCCCAGAACACGTAATCCTCCTCTCCCAGAAGGCATAAGCCTCCTGGAACACCCAACCCTCCTGAAATCCATCACCTCCCTGAATGGATAGGACTTCCCCATAGCACACCTCCCTCCTACCAGCAGACATCCAATCCAATCCCTCCCGAAGCATGTGACCGTCCCAGTACATGTGACTCCCCACTCCTGAAACCCTGAACCCCCAGAACATGCTATCCTCCTCTCCGGAAATGCTTAATGCCCCTCTTCACAACATGTGACCTCCCTCTTCCGGTACCAGCGACCCTTCCCCCCTGAACATGTGACCCTTTTCTCCCTGAACTCATTGCCTTTCCTTCTCCATGACATCTCTCAGTCCATGTGTGGACTGGCTGGGCTGAATGCTGGTTGATGGGACAGCTTTTGAAGGTTTGCATTGGCTGACATTTGGCACCATTGGGTCCACGTCTTTCCATTACTGGGGAGATTCTCCGACTGTTGGTGGGACCCAGAACTCCTCAGAGAATGGTGCATTTTGTGGGCACATGATTGTAGTTAGAGACTCATTTTGGGACCTCATGTGGTACAGGAGATGGACACAATGTTATGTCTTCTGATTCTTGAACCGTGTCCTGAGAGGCTTCTATTTCCCATCATTCTGGTAGGTTGGGTGGTCAGTTAGGTTTTACTTTCCAGAAAAATGGTCAATAGAAAACCAAAATGACTCCCATACAAGTTGAAGGATCTTCATGATGTCTATGGTAGGGCTCGGGAGATATTCACCAGAAAAAGGTTACATGGATGAGATCGGCTCCTCGTTGCCACCAGTGCTATTCCTGGTGCTGCCATGTGACAAGGAGGACCCGTCAGGAGGCTGAACACCTTGAACTAGTCTAAGCTGACCCTCTTTAGCTCCTCCTTCCCCTAGAAGTAGCATGAGGACTGTGTGTCAGATTGTCTGCTTCCATCAGAGGCTTTTCAGACAGTTGTTTGTCTTCATGTCTCCCAATATCGCGGTACCGGGACAGCAGGTTGGATGTTGGTGATTGGTGGTTCCTGTGGAGCACTTTGGGTGTCTTTAGTGGAACTTTCCTCGCCTTTGTTGTGTTCCTGGAAGTCATTTACCAAGGGCCCCTACCTATGTCTCTGCTTGGTAGATGCTACAGCCAATCCACACCATCGATATCTGCCCGACGTCCTCTCATTACCCACTTCAAATGTCAGCATTTTCCTAGCCAGAGCCCCGTATGAGCAGAATATACAGAGAGCAGGAAACGTGCGATGTGTGATGTCATAGAGGAGACTGTGATGGGGTCATCTGTGGGCAACACAACTTCCCATGATGACGTGACCCGACACATCTTCCCACGATGACGTGACCCGACACATCTTCCCATGATGACGTGACCCGACACAACTTCCCATGATGACGTGACCCGACACATCTTCCCATGATGACGTGACCCGACACATCTTCCCATGATGACGTGAATCGACACATCTTCCCATGATGACGTGACCCGACACATCTTCCCATGATGACGTGACCCGACACATCTTCCCATGATGACGTGACCCGACACATCTTCCCATGAGGACGTGACCCGACACATCTTCCCATGATGACGTGACCCGACACATCTTCCCATGATGACGTGACCCGACACATCTTCCCATGATGACGTGACCCGACACATCTTCCCATGATGACGTGACCCGACACATCTTCCCATGATGACGTGACCCGACACATCTTCCCATGATGACGTGACCCGACACATCTTCCCATGAGGACGTGACCCGACACATCTTCCCATGATGACGTGACCCGACACATCTTCCCATGATGACGTGACCCGACACATCTTCCCATGATGACGTGACCCGACACATCTTCCCATGATGACGTGACCCGACACATCTTCCCATGATGACGTGACCCGACACATCTTCCCATGATGACGTGACCCGACACATCTTCCCATGATGACGTGACCCGACACATCTTCCCATGATGACGTGACCCGACACATCTTCCCATGATGACGTGACCCGACACATCTTCCCATGATGACGTGACCCGACACAACTTCCCATGATGACGTGACCCCGACACATCTTCCCACGATGACGTGACCCGACACATCTTCCCATGACATTGAAAGTAGGTAGGTGGTCTTTTTCCTGTTCCTTGGGGGCCACCTCAAGATACCAACGGTCACACCTGGACACAGCTACGAGATCTGGGAAAGTGAATGCACTCAAGTCACCTCAGTTGCGATTGCAAACACTTCAGTTTTATTGGCATAACATCGGGGTTATTATACTGTAGTCTTTGGGCAAACAAACCCTCAGACCATCCAATCAAACACACCCTCAGACCATCCAATCAAACACACCCTCAGACCATCCAATCAAACACACCCTCAGACCATCCAATCAAACACACCCTCAGACCATCCAATCAAACACACCCTCAGACCATCCAATCAAACACACCCTCAGACCATCTTCCCAATCAAACACACCTCAGACCATCCAATCAAACACACCCTCAGACCATCCAATCAAACACACCCTCAGACCATCCAATCAAACACACCCTCAGACCATCCAATCAAAAACACACCCTCAGACCATCCAATCAAAACACACCCTCAGACCATCCAATCAAACACACCCTCAGACCATCCAATCAAACACACCCTCAGACCATCCAATCAAACACACCCTCAGACCATCCAATCAAACACACCCTCAGACCATCCAATCAAACACACCCTCAGACCATCCAATCAAACACACCCTCAGACCATCCAATCAAAACACACCCTCAGACCATCCAATCAAACACACCCTCAGACCATCCAATCAAACACACCCTCAGACCATCCAATCAAACACACCCTCAGACCATCCAATCAAACACACCCTCAGACCATCCAATCAAATACATGGACATTTTTTTACCTTAACTCAACAATTATTTGTATGAGGTTTGCATTTTCACTCTTCTGCTTTATCTGTCACACCATATCTGGTCTAACGCCCAGACCATGACTGTAATCTGACCCAACGCCCCGACCATGGTTGTAATCTGACCCAACGCCCAGACCATGGCTGTAATCTGACCCAACACCCAGACCATGGCTGTAATCTGACCCAACACCCAGACCATGGCTGTAATCTGACCCAACGCCCCGACCATGGCCGTAATCTGACCCAACGCCCGGACCATGGCTGTAATCTGACCCAACGCCCCGACCATGACTGTAATCTGACCCAACGCCCAGACCATGGCCGTAATCTGACCCAACGCCCCGACCATGACTGTAATCTGACCCAACGCCCCGACCATGACTGTAATCTGACCCAACGCCCCGACCATGACTGTAATCTGACCCAACGCCCCCAGACCATGGCCGTAATCTGACCCAACGCCCAGACCATGCCGTAATCTGACCCAACGCCCGACCATGGACCGTAATCTGACCCAACGCCCGGGACCATGGCCGTAATCTGACCCAACGCCCGGACCATGCTGTAATCTGACCCAACGCCCGGACCATGGCCGTAATCTGACCCAACGCCCAGACCATGACTGTAATCTGACCCAACGCCCGACCATGGCTGTAATCTGACCCAACGCCCGGACCATGGCTGTAATCTGACCCAACGCCCGGACCATGGCTGTAATCTGACCCAACGCCCGGACCATGGCCGTAATCTGACCCAACGCCCAGACCATGACTGTAATCTGACCCAACGCCCGGACCATGGCTGTAATCTGACCCAACGCCCGGACCATGGCCGTAATCTGACCCAACGCCCAGACCATGGCTGTAATCTGACCCAACGCCCAGACCATGGCCGTAATCTGACCCAACGCCCGGACCATGACCGTAATCTGACCCAACGCCCGGACCATGGCTGTAATCTGACGCCCCAACGCCCACGACCATGGCTGTAATCTGACCCAACGCCCGGACCATGGCTGTAATCTGACCCAACGCCCGACCATGGTTGTAATCTGACCCAACGCCCAGACCATGGTTGTAATCTGACCCAACGCCCAGACCATGACCGTAATCTGACCCAACGCCCAGACCATGACCGTAATCTGACCCAACGCCCGACCACCGTAATCTGACCATGACCGTAATCTGACCCAACGCCCAGACCATGACTGTAATCTGACCCATGACCGTAATCTGACCCAACGCCCAGACCATGACCGTAATCTGACCCAACGACCCAACCCAGACGCCCCACTGTAATGACCGTAATCTGACCCCAACGCCAACGCCCCCAGACCATGACCGTAATCTGACCCAACGCCCAGACCATGACCGTAATCTGACCCAACGCCCAGACCATGACCGTAATCTGACCCAACGCCCCGACCATGACCGTAATCTGACCCAACGACCCAACCCCGACCATGGCTGTAATCTGACCACGTAATCTGACCCAACGCCCGACCATGGCTGTAATCTGACCCAACGCCCAGACCATGACGCCTGTAATCTGACCCAACGCCCGACCATGGCTGTAATCTGACCCAACGCCCACGCCCGGACCATGACCGTAATCTGACCCAACGCCCAGACCATGACTGTAATCTGACCCAACGCCCAGACCACCTGACC